CGTCCTTGCTACTAGTAGTACGGCCAGGAGCTCCTAGTAGCGTCCTTGCTCCTAGTAGTACGGCCAGGAGCTCCTAGTAGCGTCCTTCCTCCTAGTAGTACGGCCAGGAGCTCCTAGTAGCGTCCTTTTTCCTAAACTTTAAAACCACATTGAAAATCAACAATTCATAAGGGAACGAGAACCTCGATATGCCCTAGATGGCTCCAAGCACCAAAGCGAGATATACATGCACTGCATCATGCTGCTGTTCTATGGTTTCACCATCCCCCTCCCAGCACCTTCACAGCCCTGCGCCTGCATGTGGGTCTTCACGGTGTCCAAGGGATACATGCCGATGTGTTCCATCACACCGGCCTCACAAAATCTGCCACAAACTCCAACAGACTCCGGTCGGAATTTGCACCCTGAGGCTGACTTCAGGGTGGACTCCGCCCCTACCAAATGTATTTTGTCCTTTTTTCATGGCTCCAAAAAGTAAATCAAATCATGCAAAACAAATCATACAACACGGACATTCACTGACCTGCTAAATGATGGAGCAAAGAGAGAAAAAGAGCCGACAGGGAAGCACCAGGGCCCTGACACAACTGCCTGCCACTGCGTGCTTCCAAAGAGGTGATGAGGCCTCAGTGACAGCTTCGATTCACGAACAAACATGCGAAATGTTGGTGAACGAACACTCGTTCTTTGCTTTCTCCCCGCGATGGATTCCAACCGACTGATCCACCCGCAACATCCGCAACCGCAGTGCAGCGATCAAATCTCAAAGGCACATCCCATTCCTCCCACTGCTCGAAGCGCTCGCAAATGTCTGGCATCGGGCCCCGAGAGAGAGTCTCTTCTTCACATCGATCTACGAAGTTCGAAGTTTGTTCTTTTCAGATTGTCAGAATTCCCACATCCGACTGTCCAAGTTGCATTTGGCCCAAGTCATTTGAGTCTCATCCTTTTCTTTTTCCTTTTTTTTCTGATAGCAATGGCCTCCAACCTAAGAGCGTAAGTTCTTTTCGATTTAGCCAGGAGATGCCATGAGTATCGTCATTCAGCTCAGCCACGGAGTCATTCTTGAGTGATCGCCCACCTGCCTGGGGGCTCGTCCGGCTCTGCCTTGGGCATTCCGGATTCGGGCTTACCCAAAAAGCGGCTTTTTGGGATGTATAATATATATATATAGACATATTATAACGTATAGTTATAGAAATAGATAGACATAGTGCAAATGAGTTCCTTTTGCCCTCGGTGCCCCTGGCCGATCGCCATCGAAAACGAGGAACCGCGAGTCGAGTCGCCGCATAAACTCCGGGTCCCCAACCGTGACGGGCGAAGGATGCGAAACAGCGGCGGCCTTCACACTCAAGTCTCGGATTTGACCGAAGGGCTAACAGAACTTCGCACATAGAACATGCACACAGAACTTCGCTTACCTGTGCCTAACTGTCAACTTGCTTCCCACTCCGCCCATATCAAACGATTGAAAGTGATCAGTTCGCAATGCAAAAAGTACGTTGGAAAGTTCAGGAACTGGAAAGCGTTCCCTTCTGGCCGAGCAATTGGAGAGATTTTGGGAGCGCTAAGGCAGGACATAAGAGAAAGAAACGATAAGAAACGTGCCTCTCTCGTAACGAATATGCCTAAAAGAGTCTATAGCACTCGACCCAAACGCCCATTGGTTTTTCCATGTCATTTCCCTGCTATCCAATTTCCCTTCTTTTATCTGATTGGAGCAGTTCCTTTTCTGCTTAATTTGTCTGCCAAGGCACGGGTGGACAGCTGCAAGCAGGTCCTGGTGCTTTCCCGAAAAACGAGAAATTGTCACATCTGCTTTTTGGGAACAGCTGAGCTGTGACAGCTTTCCGTGAGCCTGGATGCGCTCCACCACAAGCACAGGCTCCAAGCATCCTGTCGCACATTGTCAGTTCCGAACAAAATCTTTGAGTCAAAGTCTGCTAGAATACTTGCTTGATTTTTCACACATGATACAAATGCTAGTTTGGGCATGAGGATCGGCATCACTTGCCCCCAAGCTTGATCTTTCGGATAATGTGGCCAAGTGCATCTTAATTGCTCTTTCCCTACTCACTTTTTGGTCATCATGACCCGCCGGTGACCCACCTGCTCCATTCGGAAGGAAACATGTTCCCGACTTTTCACTGTCGCTGCACGGTTCAGCCGCAACGAGCGGATGCCATGGCGGCAATTGCCGCTGCATCAACATAGCGCTCTTTCGGCACATCGGATCATGTTTCGATCTCGCGTGAACACGGCGAACAGGATGAAGGCAACATTCATGTTTCAACATACTTGAACTTCAGCTCCGCTCAGCGCTCAGCGTGGCCAGCTGCACGCCTGAGGTGATCGGTCCCGACACAGGGTCTCCCAAAATCTCCCAATTCCATTCACGTGTTTGGCTGAAGACACTTGGATTCCATTATTGTTCAGTGTGAAACACTTTTCATCCTGGTAGATGGGCGCATGCGTTGCATACCCATGCGGCTCAAAGGCATACAGCATATACCCCAAATCATTTCGGATTCAGGTTCGTTTGATCCTTTAGGATCCGTTCGCATCCCGCTCCAATCCTGACAGAATTCCTGCAACCACTCCAAGCCTGAAGCGACAATCGACAGAATCGACTCTAAGGTCAAAGGTCCTGAACCGGTTGAAACATGAAGCCCTTGAGGCTCAAGCGGAATGTCGCCGGTTTTGAGGCCTCGACAAGCTGCGAGAGTCAGCTCGCCCAAGCAGTTTCAGCGACTCCTGCCAGTGAAACGGAGTAGTCAAACGGAGTAGTCAAACGGAGTAGGCAGGAGTATGTGAATGGAAAGGCACGGCGCGGGCCAAGAAGGAGGCATCTTGGCAATCCTAAACGCTGTGGGTAGATGGAACCTATTCAATCGGTTGAATACTGTATGCACACCACCTTCCGAAAATCTTCTGGTTCAACTTGCCTTTGGACCCTGGAGGTGTGTTTAATGACATCGTCCTTGACAGCCTTCTTCACCTTGTGGTCAGGGTCTTCAAGGTGCCCCAGCAGCAATCCGCAGGCGAACCTGAGTAAGAAACTAGTAGTAACAAAGGGCATCGCCACAAGTAGCAAGGGCGCTACTAGGGGCTCCTGGCCTTATTAGGAACAAGGATGCTACTAGGAACAAAGGGCATCGCTACTAGGGGCGCTCCTGGCATCGCCACAAGGAGCAAGGATGCTGAAAGTCTGCGATGCCGATTTCGCCACGGCGCTCATCGCCTCTCTCTGCCACCATCGCCATTGCTTGTGCGGCCTCGGGGATTGTGGCACTCAGTTTGGAAGTGCCAGGGCAGTGCACAGGACATCCCTACACAGTTGAGAACAACATGTAAAACAACATGCTGAACACAACATGAAAAAACCTCCTCCGACCATCTCTGACCTTGGTGTGACATCATTTTTGGACTTTCTTCGCGTTCGACCATCTGAGTCCCACAGCCGCCTCTCGAAGCTGAGGATCACAATCCTGGCGTCCGAGAGGGCATTGTTCTCGACTGCGTTGAGCGTTGCCGAGGTTTGTGGGCCGTGAAAAACTCCAAATTGGTGTTCCAAAAAATGCACAAACATCAAAAAACTTGATGCACAAGGTGGAACGCAATTCGGCCTCCAAACAAGTGCCCAAGGTCTTTTGCACTGAGCGATCCCCTTTGAAGGTCACCTCACGGGAGGCGGGAGGGCTTCGCGTGGTCTGCAATGAACTCGCGCAAGCCTAACAAACTTAAATAATTCCCCATCCATTCCCTACAGCAGGCCCAGCAGCCGTCACAGCCAACGCCCTTCCACTGTGGAACACCGGTTGGCCCACATATTGCCAGAGTTGTCGTCTCAGTACGGTTGTTGTTTGCATTGAAGATCCAAGTGTGCAAAGCAGCGCGAGCGGACGCACGGTTTCAACCGCAAAGCGATCCCGGTGCATAGACGTGTACATCTGCATCATGATTACTGGCCTTCATGTACCTTATGGTGCCTCACTCAAATCGAGCGCCGCCCCTTCGTCACGACACTTGCTACAAAGCTGGATGTCTCTTGCATCACTCCAATGAGGGCATCGGTTGTCAAAATGAATCACCTGCCCAAACATTCGCAAACTATCATCTTGCCGCCGTCGAGCTTCTTTCAAGCTCTCCAAGTTCTCAACCATCTCTTCAGCTCCCAGCAGCTCTGTTTGCATGTCATTCATCTGTTCTTGCATATCTTCCATCTGATTCTCATACTTCTCCCACAGCTGTGCATCCAGCCACTCAGTCACTTGAGTCTGTTGGTCACGCCTGGGCTCTTCCATGCTGGTAGCTCGTGGTCTCCTGATCCACTGTGGCCACATTCTTCACGTAATGGCCGATCATGCTTGGGCACCTTTAAAAAGATCCGAAGCCAATGCAAAATGCTTAAGGCCCCAATCATTGCATGTAGGACCAATGCCATCCAGCCATAGTCCGCGCCCGCCTTCTCGACATTCTCGATTGGGCTTCGCGCCACTGAGTTCATGCTAGCCATCAAAAGTAGCAAGCCAATCCTGATGTCCTTCGTCTTCATCATCTTCTTGGTTCCCTCTTGACTCGGTACTGGTATTCCAGCTCCTTGTGCTCATCTCCGCCATCATCATATAGAGTAGTCCAAACAACCTCCTTCTCGTCAGGCTCTTTGCGCTGATGTCTGCACAGTTCAACTCTGAAGGAATGGCCACCGCACTGAAAGCCTTCTTGGTCTCCTTCTGCTGCGCCCACTGCAGTGAAGCATCCAGGCGCCTGACTCTTCCAATGCCTTGGCGTTGTACCATGGCTCCGGCCGCTGAGCTGTCTGTCCTCACCTTCATGATGCAGCTTTCACCTGTCATCTTGTTCAGCAGGTGCTTGATCAGCGTGCCAGCCAGAAGACAGCGGTATCGGCTTCTGTGTCCTGACTCTGCTCTCAACGAGGTTGCTGTCAATGATGATCTGACAGGGTGTGGTGCTCTGTTTCCTGCATAATCAGCATCTGTCAATACCTCGATGAAGCGCGCAGGTCAGGTCTACTGTTGATCTCTTCATCCTCTCTTGTATCCAACACTGACCTTCCTTTCTCTCTTCTTGACATCCTCACCCCATAGTCGATGGTGCTGTACAGGTAAGAGCACAAATGCCAGGCGTTCCTCCATATTCTCCTCTGCGCGGCCTTCTGGACCACTGTAGGTGTATACGAAGTCCAGCTGGAAAATGGCAATCCAAAGATCTGGGTTCTCTTCCTGAGGCATGCGCTCGCCTCCATGCTCGAATCCACTTCTTCTTCTTGTCCTGCGAAGCTTTGCCCATGATAGGTGATCAGCTCCCAGAACTTCCACTGTGCAATCAATGCACCAACCTTGTCTTCCTAAATCTCCTCCTTCTTCTCCAAGCCGTTCCAAAAAGGACCCCTTGCTCGGTACGACCACGATGACCTCTCGAACAGGTAGTCTACTCCTCTTCTTCCTCTTCTTCCCTTTCTCTTGCACCAATTGCATGCCCTTGACCTTGCCGATGTGGGTGTCTCGTTCCAATTTAGCTTCCACGCCTTTGAGACCACTCGCCCTGGAGTGTAGTAGCTGATCTCCTGGACCGTCTGCGGGCCCAAGCCACCTGCAAGGCAAGCGAGGATCAAAACCTCGCAGAGCCAAATGCCCCGAGCGTGGGGTCCCCCTCCAACTAACCAAGGAAAGCGTGCCCACGTTGTGGATGTCGTGGTGCCTAGCGGGCCGGCTCTTACGACCGGGGCTCCGCTACCATGCAAAGCAACGTGAGCGAACGCACGGACCGCAAAGCGATTGGGCCTAAAGTGCCCGGTGCATAGACGTGTACATCTGTGTCATGATGACTGGCCTTCATGTACCTTGTGGTGCCTGACTCAAATCGAGCAAAGTGGATAATTGTTCTTTCAGCGCAGCTCGCGGTTTCCCTCTCACTTGCTGCGCAATTTGTGGGTCCTGCAAGTGTTGTGTCGACAAGTATGCTACGGCCTACGCCCAAGGCGTCCGTTGTTGATTTGGCTAAGCTTTCATCCGCGCATGGCCCAGTTACGCCCAGTTGAGTCCCGAGTCCCGTCCCATCAGGTGACTAGAGAAAGGCACCTCCATCACATTTGAAGGCCTGGTGAAGTTTGCCATGAGGGATTCGATGTTTTCTTGAGTCCTTTAGGTCGCGGTCCCAGCATCAATGACCGGTGTCTTGCTCAGGCGTTAAGAAATTCACCTGCTTAAGTGCGTGTCTCTCGGTCATCTGTGCCAAGAAGGGTTCCCTTCTACAAGTAAAACGGCAAAAGCCTAGTAGCACGGGGTAGCTGCGCTAACGGTTAAAACCGCCTACAACGATGTACACGTAATATGCTCTTGCGCCTGCGGATTCTTTCGATTCCATTCCGTCGCTTTCGACACACCCTCCTTCCCCTCAGTGCCTCGGCCAAGGACTCTGCCGCGGCGCCGCGCACGTGGGCATCCTGCGCAACGGCAAGACATGCGATGAGCAAGAAGGAGGCTGCCAACGGCAGGGAGGTGGATTGAATTTTGGATTGCGGACACCTCGGCCATCTGCGACTCAGCGCTGAAGGTGAAAGAGGTTGGCTCGAGAAATTCGAATTCATGAGGCCATTGCTATTAGGTTCAAACCACCGCTTCTAGGTTGGAGGCCGTTGCTATTGGGATTCAATTTGAGTCTGATTTTAATTCATATTGGGAGACCTTGGCGGCGCACAGCCCCAACCGAGCTTGAGACCACTTGCGTGAAGTTGACTAGTGAACCCATGTCGTGGGTCACCTTCACCGGCGCTTGCATGCATCGTTGAATGTGTGACCGTTTGAAAAGGTGTTCCAATTGGGGCATGCTTTCAATTTTTCAATAAGTTTGGCCGTTTGTTTCTGCAACATCTTTTGGGCTTGACTGTCGCTTGTTGTTGCAATGTTTTTGACCTTGCATCGACCCAACATGGCTGTTTCAACTCGCTTCACTTGGCGCTTTTTCCTTTGCAAATGGATGAAGTTTTTGAGAAATTTTAATACGTTGCGCGCGTTGCGATTTTGGCTTAGAGGACATGGCGTGGATGGATGGCTTGTCAGCATTGTGGTTCAGCCAACATCCGGGCTTGGACTCATGCTTGACGCGGTGAACAAACACCGAGAGTCATCGTTGGAGTGGACTGACGACTGACCAGAAAAGGCGCGGATGTTGTTTGAGAATCTTGAGAGGCTACTTTGAGTTTATCGTCTTGGAGTGAGCTGCAAAAGGATGACTTGACTAGCCCGAAACGACTGTAAAACGAATGGTTTTCTAGCCCTGGGCATGTTGCTTCATGGTAGCCACCACGTTGACCATCATATCTTCCACCAGCCAATGCTAATTGCAACAATTGGGCAGTGCGCGCGAACCTTTCGCGGGTATTTGCGCCAGCCGTGAATTGACCGATGACTTGCGTCGGGTTGGGCAGGTCGGGTGGGTATGGCCACTCGGGTTGTATAGCTTGCGGTTGTTGCGTTGCCCGTTGTGGCTGTCACAAAAGGAGTGCCACGGGAAGGTTTGATTTCTTGGTGAGCAATGCATTGGGGATGCGATGTGCAATTTCGGAGCGTGAAAAGGCTTAGGGGGTTGCCCCCCGGACGCCCAAAAGCGTGCAGACTTGCGCTTCTACCGGTTTACCTTCCTAGCTTCCCTTCTCCTGCGCTTTCCCGTTTCTTTTCTTTGCCTGCTTCCGGGACGCTAGCTTGCTCACTTCCTTCCTTGTGCTTGACCTGCTAGCGGTGGTCCAACAGTCAAGCAACAGAAGCAACAGCAAAGCAAAAAGGTAGGCAAGAAAACATACAGTAGAACTGCTAAAGCGCGACAAAGGCATCAGAAAAGCAACAAAGCAAACAAATACGCAACATGAGCGACAAACAGCAAAACAAACCTGAAAAAAAAATCCAGAAAAAACAAACACATCCGTTGAAATACTTGCAGCCTTCACCGAGCAAAACAAAACAAAAACAAAAGCAACAACAACAACAGCAGCAGCAGCAACACCACCACCACCAACAACAACACCAACAACACCACCAAGACCAACAGCACCAACAGCAACAACAACAACGACAACGACCACAGCCACGACAACAGCAGCAGCAACAACCACAACAAGCACAACCACACCCACAACCACAACAACCATAACAACAACATACAATCAACACGACTGACCACTGCAGGCAGACAATATGCTGAAAAGCTAAACGCACTTGCAAAAAATAGCAGCCATGAACGCCAGAAAGCTGCAAAAGCAATACAGGCCACAAAGTCCACCAAAGTCAAAAACAAACAGCAACAAAAGCAACAAAGGTGGACAATTGCAAAAGCAAGCAAAAGTGAACAAAGAAGAATACGGCAAAAACAGCACACAGTAAGAAACCAAGCAATATTCACATAAGCAAAGCAGCACTATTTATGAAAGAACAATCACCCCAAAAAGACACCCACCTAAAATAAAATGCACCTCCCTCCTGAACGTGGTGGAGCCATTCAATTGTCAGAGTGCAAAGGGTGCTTGTCTTGCAGTACAAGAATTGTGTCACACTCGACTGTCTTGTTGATACGTCAAGCTTGCAGCCTCTAAATAAATGCTTCGATTCTCCCTTTCATTATTTGGAGGCCTTGCAGGGGCATTGGTTGTGGGGACTGTAGTAGCTTTTAGCTACTAGTAGTAATGCCCTTGTTACTAGTAGCGATGCCCTTAGATACTGGTAGCTTCTGGCTACTAATGCAAGTGCATGGATGGCAATTGTAATTGTATCACAATTTGCGGATAGCGCCGATTCCTCACAGCAGGTGCGGTTGGATGGGTGGACATTGGCGCGGGAGGGATGTGGACCCAACCTGCGTGTGTCTTGTCTGTCAATGAACAATGTGTTATTTTTCAAATTTTCTCTTCCACAAAGAGTAGTCTTTTGCGCCAATTACAATACTTGCTTTGGCTTCTTGTTTTCGGAGCGCCCCCTAGTCCACGCGAAAGATATTCAAACTTGAGAAACTGGTAGAACCTGAACCTGGTCTTAGTTTTCCAGCTCTGTTTGAGCCCCAAACACTGACGAGCTCATAGACCGATCTGACCTGGTCTCCCAGCAACTCGATAAGAGTGGCGATGGCCCGGAAGTCGCCCGTGTCAGCCTCAAAAAAGCGAACACTTATCCCGAAAGCGCTGGACTCCAACCTATAGTATACATAGCGATGGCCTACAACCTAGTATAGCGATGGCCTCCAACCTGATAGCGATGGCCTCCACCTGATCTAGCGATGGTGTCCAACCCGATAGCGATGGCCTCCAACCGGATAGTCATGGCCCCCAACCTACGGCAGCGATGGCCTCCAACCTATAGTAGCCATGGCCTCTAACCTGATAGCGATGGCCTCCAACCGGATAGCGATGGCCTCCAACCTGATAGCGATGGCCTCGAACCTGATATAGCGATGGCCTCCAACCCGATAGCGATGGCCTCCAACCGGATAGCCATGGCCTCCAACCTATAGTAGCGATGGCCTCCAACCTATAGTAGCCATGGCCTCCAACCTAATAGTAATGGCCTCCAACCTGATAGCGATGGCCTCCAACCTGATAGCGATGGCCTCCAACCTATAGTAGCCATGGCTTCCAACCTAATAGTAATGGCCTCCAAAAAACAAACTCCAGCGCGTCTCCATTTCGACCCTTTGCGACAGCTCCAAGCGGAGGAAACACGCAATGTGAGGCTCTGGCGACTTGAGGTATTGCCTGGCGCAGGACTTCGGTGCAAAACATTTCAACAGTAGCTTTGAGAAACTCGCAGTCTTCAACATGTTCCAAAATGTTGTAAGCTTCCCTCGACTTCTCTAGATTTCATGTTTACATCCCCGAGGGGCCCGAGGGCGCCTGCGCAGCTGAGAAGCGCACGAACCACCCTCCATCCTAGGCTGCACACCACCAGGAGCCAGGTGTAAACCAATTCTTCAAGGTGAATATTGTCGCAAATAATCGTAATTAAATCCAAGAAACCACTGAAAGAAATTGGAACGCACATCCCTCTTTACGTGTCGCTTGAAATGCGTAAGAATCCTCTTTGGAAAAAGTATGTAAGGCATTCTGAATGCAAGCACTTCAAAAGGACCAAAGTACGAAAGTGAAAAGATTCAGGACCCAAAAGGCCTCAGCCTTTCTGAACTTCGACACCCCGGTCCATTCCGGCGAACACTGAGGTCCCAAACTTCGACTCGAAAAGCCAAGCGCTCCATGGAGCGATCGATGCAAAAAGGCAAAGCTCCAGCGACTCAGCGAAAAGCTTCGTCCACGTTTTTTGATCGAAATGAGAGGTTTTACTTGCCGAAGGTGTATAAATTCGCCGGTGCCCCCAGTCAGCCTTGCCAATGAATCCACGCCAATCAACACATAAAAGAAAAAAACCACGAGAAACGAATAGAGGAAGGTAAGGCCGTGCAAGGCCCCCTTTAAAATGGTCTTATTTCTTTGGCCAACTGAGGGAGCTCTCTCTTTCTCTCTCTCTCTCTCTCTCTCCCTCTCTGAGGGCCCCATCTGTAGCACGGGGTGTCGATGAAGCAAAGCACCAAGACCAAAAGCTGCTGAGAAAACTCCTCCTGGCTCAGGCTCCTCACAGGCAACTGGGGTCCAAGGTGATTTGTTTACTCAGTTTAGTGGTGGTCAAAAATGTGGCGCATATATATATATATATATTTGTTTTTTAAACATGTTATATGACCTGAGAAAGGTGGGGACGAAAGCCAGCCTCCGTAAGAAGACATCAATGTGGTTATGGGGTGAAGTCGACCGTGCGCTGACTTCAGCTGCAGTCAGGCACAGAGAAATAGAAGGCAGAGAGGCACAGAGTCTCGCATTGAGGGTCGATATGATACGTAGGCTCTTGAAACACAAGGTCTTGATCAAGGCTCATTCACTGTTAGTGGTTATAGGATAGAAGTGTAGCCCCTGAGTTAAGAGAAAGGTTGAGTTGAGCAGGACATTTACAGCTCGGGGGAAGAAAGGTTAATTGAACAGCACCTTAACAGGTACGGGTGCCCTTTTTCTCTGGGTTCAAGGACGTTTTCAAGCAGAAAAAGGGCACCCCTAAGTAACTGAGGGGTGCTTGCCTGCTTGTACCTGGACTCATAAACTCGGTGTGCTCCTAAGAGCGGACCGATGAACGTAGACTGCCAAGATCACGTGGTTGGATAACATCGAGCAAAGATTGTTGTTATGGGGTGAAGTCGACATTGCACTGACTACTGCTGTTAGGCACGGCGAAATAGAAGGCAAAGAGGCGCAAAGTCTCGCAGTGAGGGTCGATAGGCTCTTTATATACAAGGCCTTGATCAAGGCCCATTCACTGCCACACGTTAGGACAAAGATTAAGCTGAGCAGGACATTGACAGTTCGGCGGGGGGTGCCCTTTTTCTCTTGGTTCAATGCCGTTTTCCCGCCGAACGGGGCACCCCTGAGTAACCGAGGGGAACAACACAACGCCTATCAACTCCTATCCACTGTTGCTGGGCATAGGATAGACTTCGATCCGCACAAAAGTCCGACTCCCTTGGACGTATAGCTCCTTGCCAAAGTGCCACACCATGCACTCAGACGCTTCGTGGTGCCGCTCAAACCGCCGTGGCGCGCGAAGGGCGCTGAGGCGAAGAGCTGCTCGTAGTCTTCGGGGCCTCGAAGGCAAAACTTCAGGCAGAACATGTCGGTGAGTTACCAAAGCAGCCCAGTCAAAAGCTGCATCCTCAGCGATTGATCCAAACGTTAGCTGAGCTGCACAACTCCTCCTTTAAGCGGTCATGCAACCGCTCCCGGAAGTGGCGCAAGCGCTTGCTGGTGTACCAAACGTAGGTCTCAGCACCTGCAAGAAACGACAGTTCGGACACTCGTCCATGCACCCATCTCATCCACCTGACAAACAGGTTTCACCTTCAGTTTCGGGCAAAACAGTCACCACATCAAGTTCATCAAAACCAAATCATTATCCGTCCTTATTCACGAACATTTGCACAACCGATGCACATCGAATGCAAGTAACACGCATTGATTTTGACAAATCCTTGACAAACTGACGCCGCGAAGTATGTAGCTGAAGGAGCCCTGTGCAAGAATATTCTGTATCCATATCTGCAACCTACCTAAGCTACCCGCATCGGGTGAAATAAATAAATCCTCGATCTTAGGGAGGCTTCCGACACAGAAGGGCCGGCTAGCGCAGTTGCGCCTGGATACTGGATTGTGCAATCCAAACGATACCTGGGCATGTTGGCGCCAGAACCAATGCCCAATACTCAATACAAAACACGTGAATGGCTTCAATCTGTGCAGGCCGTGCCTTCTGTTCCTAAAGCGGCCTTCAAGCAGGACCAAATCGGCCACAGGAGGCCATCGCTAGTAGGTTGGAGGCCATCACTAGTAACAAGAAGGTACTAGGGGCTCCTGGCATCGCTACTAGGAGCAAGGACGCTACTAGGAGCTCCTGGCCTTACTGCTAGTAACAAGAAGCTACTAGGAACAAGTGCATCGCTTCTAGTAACAAGTGCCTTACTAGTAGTAACAAGAAGCTACACGCCCCGAAACTCCGTCCAGCTGCCACGTGTGGCCGTATTCCTCCTCGTGTTGGCGCACCAATATCTCCAGCTGAGGCCACTTTCCTTCTAGCGTTTTCAAGCTTTGTGGTAAATCGTTAAAAGTGTGGTTATTACATGTTATTACTACTACTCAGTTTGTTTTGGTGCTCTGAGGAGTACTCCCTCATGTCTGCTCTCCAAGTGTGCTGAGATAGCACGTGTGCGGTGTGCAATTAAGCGATAAACATGAAAAACACACATTTACCAATCAACAATGGCTTAATGCTGGACAGTGCAACTTTGTGTCAAGTCCGATGCCGTGTCGGCAGTTTGAGTGTAAGCAGAAGTTCCTAAGGACGAGATCTCCGATTAAACTGCTTTTCCGAACGCTTCTGAGGAAACATGAAAACCGATTGGCGTTGAAAATAAGTAGTACAGTTGGTGGCTCCAATGGGCCACACCGTGCACGTTGCCACGAGTCACCGCAGAACAGACCATGAGAAGTATGTAAAGACACTTTTTTCTACAAAAACACCACTTTGAAGCTGCAGAAAGGTCGCTAAACACTCACCACGACATTTATTCAGACCGCTTCAGATCGTTTCAAACGATTGGAGCTAACAAAGGCCGATTTGAGACCCTCTGGTGAGGCCAGTGGTGGAAGCTGCAAAAGTTATGATGTCAGAATTTGAGTTCATCTTAAGCTCTACACCTAGACCAACCAGTCAACATAGTCTCTTCAAAATGCCTTTGTAGCAGCCAGCTAGCCTGCGTGCAATGTCTTCTCAAAGCCTCTCGAGCGCAAGTAAGACTCCTCAGAAAAACTTGGCGCACCGATCAACCGAAACACACAAGGAGATCTATGGTTGACATGGAGGCAATGCTACACGATCTCATTGACATCTCTCATGACGCAGAAAGATCAAGTGGGTCGCTCTTCATCTGCAAAATCTCTAAGCTCTGAGAACTCCGAGGTCTCTTTAATTGTGGCTTCTTTTTGACCTCTGCGAGATCTTTCTATCAAATATCGCAGGATCTCTCTCTCTCTCTCCCTCTCTATATAATAATCACCTCAGGAACTCTTCAAGATCTCTGTTCAACAAGATGGTTGAGATCGCCCTGGGGTGTCTGAAAATCTTTTCCTCTAAGACTCTACGTCAACGGTCCCTCTTTGCCCAATCTATTTAGATCCGATTCAAAGACTTTGCGGGTCTCTGTATTTTTCAGAGATCTTGTTCTAGATGATGCGGGAGTCTGCTCGCACAAAAGGCCACTTCGAGACAAGGTGTGAACCTTCTTGAGTCACTTCGTCATGAGCCTCCGCGCTACTAGGGGCTCCTGGCCTTACTACTAGGAGCAAAGATGCTACTAGGGGCTCCTGGCATCGCTGCTAGGAGCATTCTTACTACTAGGAGCACGGTGCTTCAGCGAGAAACTTCTGGGAAAGAACCGTGAACAGCAGTGAGTGTTAGAACCAAGTACCTGATTGCCGAATAGAAGTGACAGCTTTGGGCATAAGCTAGACAACGTAGATGACCTGTGGGCTAAGTGAACACGAACAGCCGTTCAATGTGTGGGGGATGTACATGGAGGTGAAATAGTCCAAAAATAGATTGAACAAAACAAACACCTGGTGAAGGCCAAAAACCGTGTTCTTGATTGAAAGGCACTGAAAGGAAAGGCACGGAAAGAAGTTCTTGTATCGCCCAATGCATCATCATCACTTGCCCCATTAAATTGATAATTGTCATGTACCAGATTACCGTCCCATTCAAGTGACACCATGAGTGAAGCCAAATGGTGCAAGACCAACCCCTCTCTAACTTGTCGTCACAAGTTTGGGGCCAGCTTAGTCCTGACAGCCCTTCCGACAAGATGCGAGCTTGGTATTTGGCCACGGCGTGTCCTCCACCACCTCCCGCAACCTGGGCACAGTGCGAACATGTGTGAACGATGAAATGGAGCAAGCCACAATGGACACCCTCGGGGGGAATCTAACAGTTGCAGAGCAAACAGCTGTCCAACTGTCTGACAAAGCTGCGCTGGCCCTTCCATCGTGTGAAGTCAAGTCCAAGATTATTGGGCGCAATGAACGCAAGGCGGTTGATGTTTGATGTAAGTGGTGATGGCAAAAGCCACTGCCACTGTTGAGGCGTCCGCTTTCCTGAAATGCAAGCTAGACGTCTGCCCAGACGCCCATTTTGGAGTCGACCAGTTTCTAATTCGTGTCCCAAAGGGGGTTGTTGTTTACATCCGAAGCACCAGTCTTTGTGGTGCTAGCTGAACATTTAGTTAGTCAGGCACCTAGCCATGTGAAGGGTCAGTTCTGGTAGAAAATCCAACGTGAACAAGATTTTACATCGCTAGTAGTAACAGGTGCATCGCTACTAGTAACAAGTGCCTTACTAGTAGAAACAAGAAGCTATTAGAAACAAGTGCCTTACTAGTAGTAACAATAAGAATTTAATTGTAATTACTCGCAAAGGAATCTAATGGTAGTTGGGCTGTTGGAAACAAGATTTTACACAACCATCGAAACGAACGACCTTCTTTCCTCTGAGGAGCGCGTTGGAGGGCTCCGGAGTCCGCACTGCCCTTTGCAGCGCCCGTAGGGGCGGCGCAAATGAGAGCTTCGCCATGGCATGGCGATGACGTGTTTTTGATTCGATGGATTGCAAAAAAGAACACAGAGGAACCCCCCAACCAATTGAAACCAAAGAGTGCGAAAACACAGGAAAACAATGGAAAACATATTTCTGAGGAACTTCATTGAACTGTAGGCTGTCGACGAAGTTGCTAGTGAATGTGACCTTGCTGGCCGCTTGCATGACTTTAACAGAAGTGTGTCGATCTGGTGGCATTTGCCAGGTGATTCAGCTCTGCTCCATTCGTAGCGATGCCCTTTGTTCCCAGTAGCGTCCTTGTTCCTAATAGCGATGGCTTCTGTTCATGGCAAAGAGCTGGTCTGAGAGCTCCGGTTTTTCGGAGCTCCTGTGTGACCCATCTGCATCGGTAGGAAGCTTGCAAATTGTTATCGCACTTCCCAGCGTCAAGCAATTCTAAATTCCAATTGAATCCTACTAGCAATGGCCTCCAACCAAATAGGAATGGCCTCCACCTACGTAGATGTTCACTTGTGCTCAGGAACCCACTTCAACTCTTTCTTGCGCATGATTTGTTCAAGACATATGACAGCCCTAAAGCCTAGGCATGTTCCAGGCATTATCACGAAGGTTGACCCCTGAGGCAGCGGAAGGACCAATGCCACGATGCCACGCACAGTGTACAAACTAGGTTGACCCCGACGGTTTGGCTATGCATCTTTCTGACACATGACTCTCAAGCAAAGCAAAGGATCACAACAAGTCCTGTGGTTTTAAAGCTGAATCGAACACACTGCCTATACTTAAATCCAAAGCAGTGGAAGAACCCGCGGGCCGGTGACAAATCATGGACCATTTATTGGAAAAAAACCCAATGATTCTTGTCTTGAAGCTACACAATGCACTGGAGTACTTTGGAGCAGTGCTATGCACATGGCACTCTCCCTGCACAGCTATGAACATTGTCGTCCTGTCCTGCATGGAACCGCAGGCGCGCGAGACATGAGGCTGCGGCCGGGAAAATCGGCGGAGTCTGGGGCCAAGAGTTTCACGCGGCAGGGGCGCAGTGTTTTCAATCAGTCGTTAAATATCGTTTCTATCCCTGCAGCAAACTGACTCAACTGAATGTTTCACAGGATTCTCATTCTCGACTGAATGCATTATATACCGAAATCTGATTGACGTGCATCATAGAACCCAAGAGTTATGACACTCGTGGACACGCCAAACACATCCAAAAACCGTCCAAATTGAACTTTGAAGCATGTTGAAGCTGCACCTCTTTGTGAGCTTCGCAAATGACTCCGTTCTTGACTCTTGCAGGTTGGAGGCCGCTAGTAGGTTACCAAGGCAGAACCGCTTGCAAAACCAATCTGGCCAAGTCCTATAAGTCCTACGGTCCTACAGTTTGGCAAGTTTGGCAGCTCTTTTTCCGGACACCGCCAGCTCACCCCATGGGCATGACATGCCGGCCAGTATCCAAACGAGATGTTCCGAACAAATGCAGAAGATACACTCAGCAAATTACTGGGAACTCCCCAAAACTCGCTTGCCGGTCTCAAGCGAACCCTTCTCTGACTTAGGGCCTGATAAATTCCCAAGTTGACCCACCGGAGTGGACAAGATGATTGTTTCGCAACGCTTCTTCTAAAATGCACAATGTCACAGTGGGAGATGGAATCCAGGGTTGCTCCCTGCTGGGTTAAGCTGCTGTTGGCGGGCATTAGCTAGCAGTGCTTCATGCGTTGCGCATTGGCTTCTTGCAGTGCTTCACTCACCTGTCCTGCCACTCCTACCACTCAACTACCTCAAAATACAGCTCGCCCAAGCTACTTGGTTTGCATACTTGCCTCACCGACTCCATTTCGACGGCTAACATGGCTAAACACTTGGCCACCACCAACCTCGTCACTTACGTAAACCTCCAGCTTACAGTGCCCCGACTCTCTTCCGTTACCGTTCGCCTACCTCACCGCACAACTGTCCAGAACAAATCAAGGTTTCCACAACAGACTACCTAGTACGAGTAATACGATTACCGAGTCATATCTCGAATGCCAAGTTCCTTTCACCTCATTTGAGAACTGGCCAAGCATCGCCTCACCTACGGTCGACGGTCTCATCAAGTCCTCTGGGCGAGTTTCCGCCTTAATGAGGCTGAGTCTCGGCGCGAAACTCAAATGGAGGCGCCCAGTGCGTCTGAGCCAATCCATGGGTCACTGACTTCAATTTGAAACGAAAGAACTTCTTAACAGCTAAGACATGCGACGACCTTTGATTTGGAGCCCTTCAGTTTCCACAGAGTTTGTTCCCCAAACAGGTTTACCTGTGAGGGGTTCTTACTCACTTGAAAGGGGTGCATGACCAGGCCGCATGATTTTACATTTGTCTCCGGGCTTGCGTTCCTGCCGCACTGTGGTTGCTGCGGCTGCATGATGTTACACTTGTCTCCCAATTTGTCTCCAGTCTCCTGTAGGTGCCACTTCTCTCCCAGTGTCTCCAGTCCCTTGTGGGTGCTTTGGCCGCATGATGTTACAGTTGTCTCCCATTTGTATCCTACTGTCTCCAGTCCTTTGTGGATGCCATGGCCGCACAGCATGATTTTACACTTGTCTGGACTTGGACCTGGACCAAACAAACTGTTTGGGGTCAACAAATGGTATAATATTTGGAACCGATATGGACTCACAGGTCTGTTATCCAATTCTAACTTGGAGACTTTGTGTGCCGGATGAACCACAGACTTCACTTTGCAACCTCCAATGAGCGGTTCCTTGGCGCCTAAGGCGCCAAAGTCACGCGGCTTGGCATGCGCATGCAAAGCAATGGCCTGGATTCGGGGGTCGGAGGCCGGAGGAGGGCCGGATCGGTCCATCGAGTTAGACACTTTGTGCAGACCGAGCCTGATGAGTTTGGGTGAGAGGACCAGCTTATACAAGAGGCTTCGGTCTTGTTGTGCTTTCGGTAAACATGCGGCGGGTCACATTGGGGCTTCATGTCCCTTCCTTCCTTTAAACGTTTATATGCCGCACATCAGAAGCCGATCCGCCAATGAGTGGAGAGCGAAGTTGTTCACGGAGCATTCTGACTGGACCCAAGAATTGTTCATCAACTTAGTGAGTCCCAATGAAAGACCTGGTGGTGGTCAGTCCCAGCTTTTGACTGAGTGAAAAACATAGAGAAACCCTTCAAATCTGAGTTGTGACAGTCACTGGCTGAGTTTGTCTCACTTGGATTGCACGCTGCCCTTCGCTTCTTGCGGGATGCAGAATGGATGAACTGTTGGTTCTGGAAAAGTTCTCTTGGCAAAGTGTACGCTGCCAGATCTGCCCAGCAAGCGTAGCAAGCCCAGCAAGCTGCTCACGGAATTCCGCTCACATCACGTTGTTCTTCACGTTCGTGTTCTTCACTTCTTTCACAGCTTCGCTTCCTGCGTCACCTGCGTCGCTTGAACTTCGGGGAGGTGCAAAGTAGCGCGTCGTCCGAGAAGTCGCTGTCGCTGTCGGTGTCTTCCAAGTCGTCGTCATCGCCTCGGTGTCACTCACTCCACAACCACGGAACGAACATGGCGCTCTCTCTCTCTCTCTAGTAACAAGGGCATCGCTACTAGGAACAAAGGGAATCGCTACTAGGAACAAGAAGCTATACTCTCTCTCTAGCTAGCAAAACACATAGCGTGCGCCAGGCAGCAGGTCAGGTGGCAGCAAATGATGTTGGAGCCGTCGTCAGTAGCGCCGGCCATCTTTTCTGTCCGCACCCACCTTGGCCGACTAGCCAACCCACAGCCCACATGGACAGCCTCAATGCATCTCAATGCTGCACTTTCACTGTGTTCACTAGCAACTCTACGCAACTCTCCAGGCATTTTTGTCAACCCTAAGGTGCCTATACGCCCCCAGTGCCTCCCACCCTCCCTCTCATTCTCCAGTTTTGCCCCAGCGGCTTCTGGACCTGCTCGGGGATCGTCTCATTGAAATGTTCCTGTTGGATGGGCGACAGCTCCGGTCAACTGTGACGTTGAATTTTTTGTTGTTTGTACGGAACGATGAGTGTAACATGCATTCTGGGGCAAGGACGCTACTAGGGGCTCCTGGCCTTACTACTAGGAGCAAGGACGCTACTAGGAACAAAGGGCATCGCTACTAAACTAGGCATTCGTTCTGGCTTAGTAGGTCCATGTGAAAACTCGCTTGCGAAGATCCGCAGTTGTCGGATCGATCTGATCTGGAGATCTGTGGAGACAAAAAGACACCTCTAGACGGGCTGTCCATACACCTACTCAAGGAACGAGTTCACAAGATTTCACAAGGCTAATTTTTCAGCTATGCAAGACGCATTTGGGGACCATTGGGTGATGTGCAACGACAAGAAGTGAGTGGCATCAAGAGGGCATCTCTTTTGACTTCGGGACAAGACACTTAGAGCCCAATCTGTTGCAGAAAATCACACACTCCCGTCGATGCGAACACTTCGCACCGTTTACTCCATTTTACCAGGTCAGTCGTATAGTCAGTCAGTCGAGGTCGACTGTGTCATTCCAAGAACCAACATCAACTGATAACATCTGATAACCCTTTGTGGCTTTGACCTGAACCAAACGTCCAGCTCAGCATTGAAAGGAAAGACATGAACAGAATGAAGATGAATGAAAGGACTAGGAGCAAGGACGCTACGAGGGGCTCTTGGCCTTACTAGGAGCAATGTTCGCTACTAACAAAGGGCATCGCTACTAGGACCGAAGGATTGGACGGCTTCCCACCTCTCTAAGTCGGTAGTTCACGATGAGCTCCTGACGTCAACTCGATCTAAGGTGCTCAGCGGATGAGCAATTTGGATGGACATGTGTCGTATCAGTTCCGTCGTGACATGTGCCAACCGCCTACTGCCTAGACTTGGACCCTCCCACCCTCCCCCATGCGCTTCTTTGTTTAGCAAATACGACAAGTAAACTCTCAACATGCGAATCCTCACGAGCCAAAAATCGAGGAAAGGCCTTGGACGCTACTAGGAGCAAAGGGCATCGCTACTAGGGGCTCCTGGCCTTACTAGGAACAAGGGCATCGCTACTAGAAACAAAAGTACCAGGTTTACGTACTCGCTTCCGATACATGGAAGACCCTATTTTGGTCGACTCTCCAGGTCAAAATTCACTATGATTCGGATTGCATTCAAAAAATATCAACACGTCTTTGCAACAAAAAAACACACAATCATGTTCAATCCGCCATGTCCTTGCTCGCCTACAAGTTTCGCCATTTTGTGAATTGCCATTGCGATGAGGACAGCTCTCCTTCAGGGTACACTAAACTTTTTTCATCTGGCCAATATTCAGGAACCTGTTGCAGTCCCCTCGATTGATCCAAGCGTCTCGCTTAGCCTCCGTGTTTTTCCTCGGTGCAGTGAAACATTTGCTCGAAAAGACATTCTGCAAACAACTTGGCTTGAAGCTGTCCGCTGTCTGTTGGACATATGGAATCCCGCTAAATGTGATGATGGAATCATATGGAATCCCGACGCAAATCCGAAATCCGCAAACCTGAAACTCCGTCGGCTTTGCACAGTGCTTTTGTCCAAGTGTCTCCAGGAAATCCAACTCGTTCTGCAACTTATCGTCGGTCATCCTAAAAGAAACGCTGTGAAACTCGCAAAGGCAGCCGATTTGGGGACAAACAAAGATGGAAAGAAGAACATCAACATCGAAGCGACTTATTCCCATCTGTGCAACCTTTGAGTGTTCAGTGCCCTCATGGCATCTTGTCACGCACCGTCACACACAACCTCAATAGAACATTTGGAGGGGACATGCTCCTTCCCATGTACAAATATCCGCTTCTTGCATCCTTCAGGTGAATACAGTAGATTCAGAATCCCATCATGTTTTACCATGTCTCCTTGCTTGTCCTGAGGTGGTTCTGCAAAGCACACAGGTACAAACTGGCACAATAATGTAGCTTCTAATTGGTCGTGATGCTTGTTTCGCACTCCTTGTGGACAAGTTTATGAAATTTGGCGCTGAACATCCTTGGACTCTTTGCCTATTGCGCTGTCGATGGCTCGGCGCCTGTCCACTCAATCACCCTGGCGTCTCGTCCAAGCGTCATCCGCAAGTACTGCTTGGCTAGACACTCATGATCTCAGCGGTTGTCTTGAGCGCATCAAAGGGTCAGGCAGGATGCAACGACAGCAAAGTCCACAAACACTGAAGTTACGAGGAACGATATGAAATGATCACACATTGATCGGAAAAATACATCTTTTACAAAACACGTCATGATCCCTTGATAGCGTGACAAAGTCTCAGTTCAACGTGGACTGGAGCGAACTGGCATGACACACCGAGGGGCAAATTATTTTGACGAAGGAGTAAATGGATCGTACCACCTTATCTTGTGCACGGGGAGGCTCAGGCCCAAGCGTCAAACATGATGCAAACGCAACAAAGCTCGTGTCGAATGTAGTCTCTGAACATTGCAGTGACATGCCTAGGTTTCAAAACTGTACTTTCACAGATCTCACTCATACAGTACCTGGACACGCAATGATGACTTCCCCACGTTGACTTACTCCGGAAAACAACTGACGGGCGGAAAAGAACCAGCCCAACTCCTGCTAAAACACATCCGAAAGGAGGAACTGAACGAACATTTTCCAGGTTCAGCTGAGAAGCTTGGAACAAAGTCAGGGCACCACTCCTTGGCGCACTGTGGAATGCCTATGAATGCCTTATGCTGATCGGTTGTGGCCTAAAGTCATCAGACCCTCCCAGACTGACTTCAAATCGATCCTCTTCGTCCACAGTTTCCCCGAGTTTAGCACCCTGCTCGTTTCAAAGATTTCAATGTAGCTTCGCCGGCTTCGTCTTTCCAAATGTGTTTTCTCGGAATATCCACATTCAAGTCATCCAAGGCTCAAAAAGGCCATGTAGCTCATGCTTTTCATCCCTTCGCCCAAAAAGACCTGCAAAGCGACTGCGGAATTGTGAAGGACAGGACACCTTGAATCGTGTGGCCGAGATGAAAGTTATGGCTCCTCCGACATGATAGATTTTTCACACACCATTTTTGCAATCTCTTGTCGCCCCACGATTTTGCAGATTCTTGGGATCCGCTGAAGCTCTGCCAACCTCCCAAGCAAACCCACAAGTTGCGGCCTGCAGCAGGAAAAGCGGCAGGGCGCACATGATCACACGGACGTGCCTCAGATATGGCACATCAGGCTGACGAATAAATCACACATTAGGGCTAATTAGGGAGCAGTGTGCGAATCATCGGGAAGGTGGACACGCTTTGGGAGAGATTATCATGTTATATCAGTATATCATGTTCATATTGATTGAATTCAAACGAACGTTAAAAAAAAGCTCATTGCTTCTCTTGTTGTCTTCGATTCCACCTCCAAAGTGGTTCTTTACACGGACCGTTTGGTGCATTTTGGGGAGTTGGTCAGACCGTTAAGGTCCGCCTTGCGCTGTCCAAGCCCAAAGAAAATAACACATCCTCATAGCGATGGCCTCCAACCTAAGAGCGTCCTTGCTCCTAGTAGCGATGCCCTTTAGTCCTAGTAGCTTCTTGCTCCTAGTAGTAAGGCCAGGAGACCCTAGTA